ATCACTTAATTAATAGCTAAGAATAGAAAATTACATAAGAACATTAGGATCAACATTAACATCACTTGCACGTCATCGTCATCACACCTTCTCCCTCACTCTCATTCTTGTCTATTTGATTGAAGGCTAATATCATTACTCTTAGGATCACTTGAAGTACTTTCACTATTAACCATGTTTCTTTTATCGTCATCATCTGGCAAAGATAACTCATTGATTGATGCATTCCTTCTTAATTGATAAAAAGGTCGGGGTTAGTGGTGCTGAAGGATTAGGAGATGAAAGAAAGCTTGCAATGGAATGGAGATTTGGATTATTGCGAGGGTGGTGGGAACAAAATACAAGCTAATTGGGAGAATGGAAGATATCGTTGATAGAAGGGGTTGGGCGTCGACGTGCGAAAGAAGAAGATACGAGGAAGATAATGAAAATAAATTGAGGGTTATTTATCGGGTTAGGGTTGTGTTGTTCATTATGTTGGGTCGTGGGAAGTAAACTTGACATAGTTCATGGGACATTTCATGGGAACAACCCAACTTGACCGACCTAATTTTGCTCCAATTGGTATGAACCTTGAAATCGTACAAAATCGTAGAAATCGTAGATTTTAAGGATTTTAGAATTTTACTTGGGATTTTATGGGATTTTAAGGTTCAAAGATTTTATAGTAAAATCAAGATCGGAACCCATAGGTAAGATCGTAAAATCGTAAGATCGTAAGATTTTAAGATTAAAATCGAGATTTTGAATACATTGGCCAGAATAGCGATGGTGATCGGTTGGGGATGGGGGGAATTGAAAATCCACGAACCTAGGTGTCCATTTTCTTTTCTAATGGAAGTGCACCATTTTTTTTATTTTTTAATGGTTTTGAAAGGGAAAATATATGTGCAGGTCCTTGTCTTTTACCTTTGTTGCCTGATTTGTCCTTAATCAGTCAAACTTGCTCAATTCGATATATTTCCTCTCTAGACCCCTTTGCCTCTGCATTTTTGTACCTTTGACACTGCATTTAGGTGCTGCCTCTGTAGTGGCTAAACACAAAAACACACCTACTTCGACGAAATTTTAGCTGGTGTGGGCTTTACAAACTTAAAACTCAAAACATCAATTAAACATGTGAAATGTCAAACCTGTCCTAGATTGCTCTGTATTAAGGATAAGTCTTTATCCTAGTTCTAGTAGGATTGTAATTAGCCTTTCCTTTCCTGGTATGTATTGTATTCCTATAACCTTGGCAATAAATAACCCTCTTCTATGTTAATACAACACACAACATTCATAATCCTTATATGGTATCAGAGCCTGCAATTCTGTCCTAGAATTCGTGCCTCGGGCATATCAGTGTGATATCACATTCAGCACCTGATCTCCATCGCGGAAGCTCCCTCCTTACGATGGTCGGCAAAGACTCAGCTGCGTCCGACACCACTGAAGCTCCCTCCGGCGCTCCTGGCCTGCATGCTCTCGTCACCATCAACCCTGCCGCCAGCCTCAGGCTTAAGCTTACTCCGACTAACTTTCCATCGTGGCATGCCAAACTTCTGCCCTTGCTCCAAGGGCTTGATTTAGTCGGCTATCTCGACGGCACTACTGCAGCTCCTTCTAAACGTGTCCTTGTCAATAGCGTTGAGACATGAAATCCAGCCTACACTCACTGGTTTTGAAAGGATAAACTTGACTTACTATGACACAACTTCTGACAAAGGTCAAGTGTAACCAATGAAAGGGACTGCAGTATAGTGGCTCAAGTAATAAATATCGAATCCACGGGTCTCTAGAGTTACTATTACTCAGCTTCAGTTCATTATCTAGCAAACCAGATTAAGATGGAAGAACTAAAACTACTCTAACAAACTACAGTTAAAGTTAATCTAATTACAGGTTGGGAACTCACTTAGGTATGATTCCCCCTAGCCACTAGCCAGATTAATGATTGATGATTTCTAACTTGTTTCACTTTCATTCACAATGCGGAGAATCCTTAACTAGACCTTGAATCTCGACTAAATGATAAAGGCCCTCTTGAGTCAATTGCCTAGAGGGACGTATCCTAACTACAAAAAGATTGTCATTAGTGATCAGAGCATTGCGTCAGTAAAGACCAGATTTCGTCGAAATTGTGATTTTTGCGACGCCATGCATCCGTCGCGGTCTGTCCAAATACGAGAGTCACAAATAGTTTTTGTGTGACAAGCTGTCGGAAAATATTATTTGTGACGGTACTAGGTCGTTCCTATAGTTAATTCATCGTCGGTAAAGGTTTTCCACATATTGAAGAATCTGACGACCATATTGTATTTCTGACAACATTTTGCTATATTCATGACAGAATTGGGCGTCGCTAATACAGTTTAACCAATAATTGTATTTTTTTATAATTTTAATATGAGAAATTGTATTCATATTTTATGAAACCAATTCAATGAAAAAATGACATTTATGAAACCAAATAAAACATATAAAATGATATAACTTTATTCATCAGCGCTATCAATTCATAGCTCACACTTTTTCTTTTCTTTGTAGAGCATCATTTTCAGTACATAGTCGATCATATATCATCATACATCCTTAACAATATATACTTTGTCTTAAAGGTAAATACATAAAGCTACGGAAAATTTTATATACATTGAGGAAGAAGAAAAGAGAAAAAAGTACTCAATAATGGTAAAAAGTAAAACACACACTACGCCCTACGATCCCTGCTTTAGCCTTCCCGTCACCTTCACCAAATACTCAATCTTGTCGCCACTGTCTATTTCAAATCACTGCCTGAAGCCCAAGTCAAGAAAAAAGAGAGTTAAAAATCGAAAATACCATAGATCCAAATACATAATGGATCGGATTTGTCACTGTCGCTTCACAAGGAACAGATCTCATGTGTGAGGATGAAAGCGGCGAAAGCGGCAATTTCATCTTCCTGTGGAAAATCGAGAAGAGAGTGGGGCACGAGGAACAATGATGTATAGAGACAAAGAGAGAAGACCGACGATTGCATCCACAAGTGCTCGATCTTTACCCACTATCATTGGCACATGTCTGCAAAAGAGGAAAAGAAGAAAAAGCATGAAGGAGGAAAGAACGACAGTCAATCGCTCACTTGCGTCGCTAAATTTCTTCACTAATGGAAGTCTTTTTTGTAGTGCCTTTTCCAGAACAACCGATCAAGGCGTTCTGAACTAGACTCCCTCTATCGAATGAGGTTCTCAATCGATACAAAGCATTGAATCGACCCTCGACAAAAGCAATCAATCCAATACTATCAATCTATGGTGCTCTATTGACCTAATCAAGTATTCGCTCTCATAGGATCAAAGCAGAATCAATAATCTCGACTAAAGCAGAATTGAATCATGAAAACGTGCATAGATTGAATATGAACTCAACATTTCCAAGTAGGAGTACTCATACAATCATCAATCAAACAAACATAGCTAGGATTCCTCAAAACCTGCGTTAAGGGAAGTTACTCCATAGAGAAGAGAGAGAATGCAGTAAGAATCCTCAGATGATTAGTCTTCAAGTCCGGGATTGTTCCTCGAGCTTCCAAGGCGAAGAAATCCTCCAATTCCACTCCAAGAATGCCCTCAAATCACCCTCTCTCTGTTTGGTCCGTCCCTTGGGTGTTTGGGATCCAAAACCCAGCTCTCTCCCCTCCAAAAACGCACAAACATGCTTTTAACAGCCTGCGTTCGTGACCCGTTCGTAATCCCCAGTCGGGTATTTCAAGTGCCCGATTGGGGATTTTGAAACGCAGTGTGGCGATACAGGGTTAATACCCGATCGAGGTCCATAATACCCGATCTGGTATTTATGCTCTCTGGCCGGGACCCCTTCTTCCTTCTTGGCGTCAAAAAGCACAAATCCCCGGCCTCCTTAGCATTTTACCCGGCCGGGTATTTTAACTCCTGGATGGGTATTTTGCTCTTCCAGCGCCCTTCTACTCAAACGTCCTACTTCTAACCCGAAACTCGTTTCCTCGCCTTCACGTCAACGCCAAGTCCTGAAATATGACATCAACACACAACCTAGCGTGAAATCCGCTTAAAACACGAGAATCGACTCTCAAACAGCTCAAGAATGAAGGTATAAACATGTGCAATCAATGGTCTATCAAATTCCCCCACACTTAACCGTTTGCTTGTCCCCAAGCAAACCTAACTCAAACCAATGCAGCTTTCCAGACCTCTATAGCAACAAACAACCCCGATCGTCGGTAGAGGATTTCCTAGATCATATAGCAGCTTACGAGGTCAACTGGTCTTCTAAGACGTCCCCTATCTCTCTCAATGCGAGTACTAGACTCAAACTAGGATCATGAGAAAAAGTGGAAGTAAGACAACCAGTTCATGGGTAAAGGGACTCACACCATTCACAACCAAGGACTCATTGTACCGGGGTGCTCTTTCACTTCATTTCACAGTTGGAACCCCTTTTTTCACTTTCATTTCAAATTTCTTTTTTTTCATTCACTTGGCGGGGGTTCCAACTGCAGTCTTTTGCACAGTCGACCCTTATTAGTCGAGCAAGAGAAATTTCTGTACATCTGGCACTCGCCAGAGTACTTCTTTTAACTCCTTTTCCTCAACTCGTGTGGAGGGTCAATGAAATTAAGAGGGTTCGGAAGCTCTATCCGTGCCCTTAAAAACACATCCTCAAGTAGGAAAACCGTTCAATGGGTGATAGTTTTACTTGTACTTGAGACAGCTTAGCTTCTCCTTGTAGGAGTACCCCACTAAGGATCACTAAAATCTCTTCCAAAACCCAATTTTGTGCAATGAATGGTGCCACACACGTTGGGCTTACCCCATGTTCAAGATTTCAATGATTTCGACATGGAGAAACCCCCGGGGTTTCGTGACTCCCAGTTTCCACAATCATGTGTGTCGCCTTCGCCAAGCTATCTACGGCCTGTGCCAGGTCGAGCGTGCGTGGTATGTTTTTTTGAGCTCTTTTCTTGTGACAGTGGGTTCGTAAAAACCCACTCTGATGCCTTAATGTTTGTCTACAACAAGGATGGCATCCTTTCTTACTTCCTTATGTATGTGGATGATCTCTTGCTTACCGGAAATACCGAGGGTTTCCTTCGAGCCTTTCAGGATCACTTGGCGGCTCGGTTTGCTCTTCGACGACTTGGCCAGGTTAATTACTTTCTTGGCATCGATGTAATTCCCACCTCTGACGGATTCACCTTGTCTCACCACAAGTACATCCAAGACATTCTTGCTCGGTTCCAGATGCAGGATGCCAAACCAGCTGCCACCCCCCCTCGCCTCCATAGCACACTTGGTTTTCCGTGATGCGCCTGCCAATGGCACGTTATATTGACAGGCGATAGGTGCTCTTCACTACCTTGTGACCACTCGCCCTGACGTTGCATTTGTTGTCAACAAGGTGTCCTAGTACATGCATGCCTCTGCGTCCCAACACTGGCATCGTGTTAAGCGTCCTTTACGCTACCTTGTTGGCACTAGTTCCCTTGGACTTCATATCTATCGTCAGCACACTCCCCTTCGTCTTCGTGTGTTTTCTGACTCGGATTGGGTGGGTGATCTGGATGATCGCACCTCCACGTCTGGTTTTCTTTTCTATCTTGGCGACACCTTAATTTCGTGGAAATCCAAGAAAGAAAAGACGGTGGCTCATTCCAGTACTGAAGCAGAATATAGGGCCATCGCTCTTGCCACTTCTGAGGTTCACTGGGTTTGAAACCTTCTCTTTGAGCTGCAACAACCACTTCTGCATGCCCCGGTTCTCTTCTCCGACAACATGGGGGCGGTCAACTTCAGCTCCAACCCCGTGTTTCACTCGCGCATGAAGCATCTTGCGTTGGATTACCACTTCGTCCGTCAGCTTGTCCAAGCCAAGAAACTCATCGTCCGTCATATGCCTATGGCTACTCAGCTTGCGAATGTTCTTACTAAGCCCCTTCCCTCCACCCGCTTCCCCCTTCTCTGCTCCAAGATTGGGTTTGCTGACGCTGCCTCCATCTTGCGGGGGCGTATTAAGGATATGTATTTATCCTAGTTCTAGTAGGATTGTAATTGGTCTTTATTTTGCTTGTACGTATTGTATTCTGTAACCTTGGCTATAAATAGCACTCTTCTATGTTAATACAACACACAACATTCATAATCCTTATACTCTGGACGATAAAATTTCAAAAGTCATCAATTTGGAGATCTCAATCTTAGTTGCAGCTAACCTAATCTTTACACCCAAACCCTGCTGTGCTTTCTAATCAACTTAAAAGTATTAACAATCCAACCCAAGCATGAAAAATATCATTAAAATCCTTATACTTAAATTATGGAGCAAATAAGAGCTGAGTGTTATGTTCATGGGTTTAATTCTCGGGACGAATAGAAACTCTCAATTCTTTGGGAACAAACCAATAGTCTGGAAAAACATAATATAAAAAAAACGTAGATAATAAAGCTGGAAACTCAATGGAAGCTTAGGACATAAAAGATAACTCCAATGACATCTTTCTCTTCATCTTGTTTGCAAAAGTGTCAGGACCTTTGACTGCTCCATCAGACTCTTCAGGGTTGCCAATTTATTTTGCATTAGGTGAAGGTTGGGATGACTCGATATCAGTTGTAATAGACGAAGAGGATCCATCCTTGTGCAGGGGAAAATCTTTCTCCTGCACATTACAATCAATTATAATCAAGTTGTTATGTGACACTGACACACCCTAACGGGTACTATTATCATGGGAAATGTGAGTTTATTTTAGTGCCAATATATATAACACTATTTCCACCGAACTTGCATCCCAGTTTCAAATAGGAGACATTCATTATTCCTGATACTTAAGTCAGTAACACAAATGAAATCTAATTGAACGAAAAAATCTGCATCTTTTCTAGGTGCTGCCTGTGCCATGCAAACCCACGAAAACAGACGTACTTTAGCAAAATTTTAGCTCATATTAAAGGGTAAAACATCAAGGACTCCAGCTTATTGTCATCAAAGAAAAAAATATATATATACAATCGGTTGGATAGATGAATAGATGCTAACATTATTTCCTCCTGAACTTGCAACCCAGTTTCAAATAGAAGACAATCATTATTCCAGTTATTTAAGGCAATAACACAAGTGAAATCTAATCCAACGAAACACCTCGACCAACCCCAAATGTTTGAATCAATAGTGTAAGTGTTTGAATTCATGTTTGAACAAGAAAATAAAGTATAGGACCCTGATTACCTAGCATGCATGAATATGATTCTCAAAGTCAACCAATATTCAAGACTGAACATTTATAGTTGGAGTGATGAGTCAACTGACCTGTGCAGTGCCATCCAATATTCTGAGCATAGTGAAATCAGCTTGCCCATCTTCGTACGGATTGAACTTGAATTTGACATGGAATTCCTTTGTGGTACCCACTATCTCGTGGAGTTGCTCAGGAGTTGAAATACTGTTTTGTCCAGTCTTGTCAAAAAGTTCATTAGCTCTGATTCCAAAGGATCGGTGCGCTTCATAGGCAAAGATGATAAAGATTGCCGAGTTAGACTCGCTTTGCACCTCAAGCTTCACACAGTACCTAATAAGATGTGAAATGGAAAAAAGCAAGTTTAGTTTATTCCTTTTCAATAATCACATAAGTAATAATTCGAACTACTATGAGGAGCTTTACCTGGCAGTCTTAACTGGTGTATTCTTGTTGCATCTTACAGAAAAAGATTGGCCTTGCCTTTCTATCGGCTTATAGACACAGCTAGGGCAGGCCATATAACACCATCCAGCCTTGATTCCGATGACTTTGCACTCAACAGAAAATTCCATTTCCTAATATTAAATTATCAACTCAATCAATGAATAATAATGGCAAGAATAATGCATTGAGAAAGAGTGAAATAAATTGAGATAACCTCATTGTCTGGATCAATCGGCAATTCCAGAAGTTTTGCAAGGGAAACATCAGGAAACATAGGACCTGAAGCCTCTTCTACAAAGATGCGGAGTTCTGGTTCCACATTCATGTATTGTAAAATCTTTAGTCATCAAATCAATAGGTGTCAAAATAGGACAGGAGCCTAGATTTGAATGAAGTCACCAATAATTACCTAGTGGTGAAAGTAGTTACTGCAGGGATATCAGGAGTATCATACAAAACTGTGGACTCGGAAGAAGAAAATGATAGTTTCTCTGTGTAAATGTAAATAACGTCAGATTTTTCTGTTCGTCCATAGAATATGACACAATCAGCTAGACTAATGATAAATTTACCTTTGTATTTATTCACAGTAACAGCAGTTATGACCAGTATAATATGTCTATCTCCGGCTTCATCAACTATCTTATCTAACTGTTCAATAACTCTTCCCCAGATGGTTACTTTGATAACATCTCTCCTAGAGGCACAGGATATACATAAGTCCGTGTGTTATGAAAACTAAAAGGTAAACTGAATACTGAGGAATGAAAGGCCTATTTAGAATGCTAAATACTTATAACATGTCCCCCAACGACAGTTGAAATAAAGAAGTCCACAAATAACCACTTTGACAATGTTTAATCTAGCTACTGTTGTTCTGTAGACCGAAAACTAAAAAGATAAATAGTAAATTACTCAATTAGCTTCATTTGCAGATCCTTACTAATCGTCATCCGGGCAATATTGCTTGTTTTGATGACGTTTGAATGTCGAAATAATTCACCAACCACATCAACGAAATAAATATGTGACATGAGTTGCAATGTAGGGGTGAGTACCAACAAAAACATACTGGGGTGAAGGCAAAAACTGAATCGGGTGAAGGATTAACCCGAGAGGATGATTTTTTCCTCTTACTTAGATGCAATATCACTTGCTTTCATGAAAGTGAACTTGAAAGTAGGAATGGAGGGGATGTCAGGGATGTGTTGAATAGTCGTGTTCCGAGTAAAGGACATTACATATTGGTTGGCAATCGGACGATGTGTCAAACCGGTTGCTTTAATGTCAAAGTCCTTGATTATGTAAACATGGTGTTGCTTCAGTAGTTGCTTGAACTTATTTTGCAGCACCGGAGGAATAAGAACCCATATGTCATTGCCAGGGTGTCATAAAACAAAAATTAGAACCAAGCAACTTCATTGTTAAAAGATGGAATTTGGTTCGCTGTACAAAACATGATTACCATTGAATCCATGAGGATCAAATCCAAATGGAGTACTTTGTCTGTTGTGACATTCACTCCCACCCACAACCTAGAAATACGACAATGCCCTGGCCATAATTGTCTTTTGACTTCCATCTTGCAAAAGGCCAATGTACATGAGATAGATAATTAGAGTACTGAAGAATTAAATTATCTTGCCGATGCTAATATGCAATTTAAAAAAAATGGGCTGAGAGGGCTAAGTACCTGGGAGAATTGAAGAACGGAGAATTGAAGAATTGCAATATGCTCTGTGAAGTGATTCTACTGACATGGGGCATATATATGACAAATCTAATAGTTGATGTAGTGAACAAAATGTCCACGTAGACACGACCAACAATATCTTCGGAGTGGGAGAGGGGGTTGCAATCGATACCTTGGACGGGTTTTGTGGGGACGTGGGGAGGAGATGGAATAACAGTAAGGAACTCAACTGCCAGGCTGGTCATTTTCCTTCCGTTCTTTGTACACTCAGCTGGTGAAGGAGCCCGAGTAAAATGGACTCCTGCCCGGGTGGTCTTCATGAAGGACCTGTGATGGATGTTAGCTGCCACCCCAGCTACCCGATATTTGTCAGCTCTTCATGGGATGGCCGCATCGCGAAAAGGGAGTTTCCGGGACCCGATGAGGAGTCGAATCCATCTGCAGACAAACTGAAGAAGAGAACTATTCACCAACATTTTCTATATTGAGTGAGGAGAAGGAAGAGAGCCATGTTCTTGTGTGAGGCGCATAGTAAAGGAATTGGGATCGACAGCACCATAGTGAAAATTAGATCAGGTGAAATTGGCGTGTCGCATGGCGGCGGGGGAAGGAAGAACGAAAGAATTGACTCAATTGGAATAAGCTGAACACCATCCACAGGACCAATCCCTGCGGGGCAGCTTTTCTTGCGATTTTTCAACTCAGAATTGGGTTGGCCTTTTAAGTTAATTTGGTGGTACAATAGGGCTTGAGATACGTATAACGCATAGCAGAAACTAAATAGGTGAAATGTCCGACTTGCCCTTCTGAAAATTGCTCTCGTCGCTGGAAATTCAAATCTCATCAATTTTGTGTTCAAAATCTGCTTCTTATATTTTAGAGATGAAGCAAGTAAAAAGTAAAGCGCAAAGAGTCGTGAAGTCAAAGTAGGGTAGGAAGGAAAAGGGAAATTCGCTAATTTCATTAGGGCTCTTTATGGGCCCTTAGGTTTGTGGGCCTGGAAGCAGGCTTGAAACCTTCCGTGCTCTTTGATATTGAATTGGTTTTGTTTTTTATACGGCTCTAAGTCGGGGTGTTTAAACGAAGTGGTAACCGTGGTAATTGTTTTAACTAGTAGTATTTGGATAATTTGGTTTGGTTAATTTGGATAATTGTTTAGATTTGGTTAAGTTTTTTAGCTTGTTTGGTTTATGTGGTTTGGTTTGGTTTCAGACACTTCTAACCATTGAAAGCAAACTAACTAGTTAAGTAATTAGTCATATACCAAAGATATATTATATACGGGGAGTTCTACGGTACCCATGGTGAAATCCGGGGTATCAGATACCTTGAGTAAGAAAACGTTTTCCAGAACTTGAATTGACTGATCTTTCGGACATGATACTATACTCTAATCCTTAAAGATCAAAATCTAGGTCTTAATTCTCTAAATCTTATACCCCAAGATCAATTTAATTAGAAGCAATAATCGACGGTTATGATTCGTCCGAATATAGGCAAAAAAATGAATGTACCATCTTAGGGTTTATAGTTTATGATTTAGATAATTAGGACCTAGGGTTCACTCATTAAGGGTTAGGGTATAGTATCATGCCCAAAAATCCTACTAATTCGAGGTCTAGATAGCGTTTTCATACTCAAGGTATGCGATACCCCGGATTTCACCAGGGATACCATAGAAGGCACCATATATGCATATTAAATACTTTGAATAACCAGTCAAGATGAAAATATTCCTCCCTTTTAGCCTCATAAAAAATAAAGCTCAATATTATTCATATACTGTATATTTGTATTTTGTAGAGTGTAGACCACAACATATGAACGCCTAATTTAGATAAATCCAATACATTTTGTTGGATGAAAACTTGAAAGAAAGATATTTTCCAGCCTATGATAATTGATAAGAGATTAAGTGAATTCACACAAACACAATAGTTCACGAACCCCATACTATTGATATATATTTTTTGGTAAATACTTCTATTGACGGTAAGATATTTATTAGTTGCATGTATTTTTGTTAAGATTTAACTATAAATATGTGTTGATTGTTATGATTTATTCATTATAAAAATTTAGAATTGATGCATTAACCGGAAGTTTTGTCACTTAATGATAATGTGATGTTATATTGGTTAATATGGTTAACCAATTAACCAAATTGATTCAACTTTAGTTTGGTTGTTGTATTAGTTTGGACGGTTTGGTTATGATATTGTATTCCATGGTTAATAGATTTAGCTTGATTTGGTAATTACCATGGTAAACACCTCTAGCTCTAAGATCTACACAAACACAGGTTCTGAATGAAGTTAACCTAACCAATGTGGTCCAGGTTCGAACCGTACTAACCAGAAGCGATTTGGGTGGCGCCATTATTGAAGGTGCTGACTTCAGTGATGCTGTTATTGACCATACCCAGAAGCAGGTAACATTATCTTGATCTTTTGATACCGTCTATGTGGAAACAATAGAAGAGAATAATGATGTGTGCGGTATGCAAGTGGGAAACATCCAGCAACAGGGGTAGGCACCAGATTGAGCTTAGGGTGAAGTAACAAGAAGAGGAATGCTTATGGTTCCCCATCTTCCCCATTGTTAAGTGCTCTCCCCGACCGTATTAGAGGAAAAATCCCATTTTTCTGCAGGAGCTCCAATGGCTAGTAAACATCCTCGATGTAGTGATGCTGTTTCGGGTAAGACAAGAGGCAACATGAGTGAAACGCCACCGTCTCAAATGATGAAGCAAGGAGAAAGCTGCGCGACGTCGCATTGTTCCTGAAGGCCAACGTCACTTTCATTTCTCCAGTTCTTGTTCCCTCTCCGTTCTTCACATTTCCTGACTGTAAGAGAACAACTAAGAGCTGATTGTCTTTTACTGCAAAACATTGTATAAAAGACACAATCAAATCAATGAGAATGTAAGTTAGGGTTTCAATTTTTCACCTGGTGTTATGGTATCAGAGCAACCCTAGTCGCCGCCTCCCCAATGGCTGCCCAACCAAATGCATATCGCATGGCGGATCCTTACTACCTTCACGGTTCTGATCAACCATGGTTCTTTCAAGTAGGTGAGAAGCTGACCACCACCAACTACAACGACTAGAGTAAAGCGATGTTGAACGCTTTGGTCGCCAAGAACAAGCTTGGTTTCATCAATGACACCATTGTTGCCCCTGCTGCCACGGATCTTCAGTTTTCTTCTTGGACAAGAAACAATGTCATGGTTCTCAGCTGGATCCAACAAGCTGTTGAGACTGGCATCAAGAAGACTATCATGTCCTGCAAATCTGCCACTGAAGCTTGGCTCAGCCTCAAGTCTCGTTATGGACAAGGCGACATGATTCGCATTGCAGAACTCATCGATTCCATTGGCACCATCAAACATGGTAATCAGACGATGACTGAATACTATGGAAATCTGATTGCCCTACAGAATGAACTAGATAATTATCAACCTCTAGATCCATGTCCCTGCACCAACAACAGTCATACTATATGTGTTTCTATGAATGTTGTTTTTGGTTATAAAGCAGTGAACTTTGTCATCTAGTTCCTCCATGGTTTAAATGATAATTTTGCCACTGTGCGATCCCAAGTTCTTTTTGGAGACACTTTACCACCCATAGATAGGGTTTTCCAGCGAGCTTTATAGCATGAGCGTCAACTCCATGGCACCCAACAAGGGAAGACTTTGGTTATTGAACAACAGCTTTTGCTATTCAGGGTTCCAGGAGACCATATATCCCTGGCAAATGTCGACATTGTACCTTCTGCAACTCTCCAGGACACACTGAAGAGACCTGTTACCACAAGCATTGGTGGCCTCATGGTCTAAACCCACGAGGTGCCACATCTTCTCCCAATCCCTCAGCTAAGCCCCCAGAATGCACATTCTTGCGTCTTGGCCACACTGAGGACAATCGCTTCAAAAAGCACGGTTATCCTCCAAGCTCTCAATCTCGTCCATCAGCACCTTGCCCAAGACCTTCCCTCAATGCAGCATAAGCTAGTTCATCCTCTGATTCTCAATAGGAGTTTAAACTCACCAAATCAGACTATGACAAACTGATGCATCTTATGCAAGAGTCACCCAAAGGCAAGTCTTCCCAACCATCTCATTCTGCAGCAATCATCACCTCTAATGATTTTGCCTCATCGGGTAACCACTCCTGTGCTCTAACCAACATGTCTTCCTCTATGACTCCATGGATCTTGGACACAGGAGCCACTGACCACATTGTCAGCTCCTTATCATATTTCACTACATTCAAAAGGGTCAATCACATATTCATTAATTTACCTACTGGTGATAGAGTTCTGGCCACTCATCAAGGCCAAGTTAATTGTCTTGATGGTTTCATCCTTGAGGATAGGGCTGTTAGCGGTGCAGTTTCAATTTTAACCGAACCGCCAACGCGGTTAACTGCAACCGACAATCATCCAAAAACCCCAACCGCCACCGACACCGATTTCCTTGTCGGTTAGCCGAAAACCGCCATCAACGGTTACGGGTCGGTGTCGCGTTTAGCTGAAGACCGA